AGCCGGTCCCAGCGCGCCGCCGGTTCAGCCGCCACCCCCCATTCTGGGTGCACAAGCGCCGAGAGCACAGCCGGGAGACAGTGGTCCGGGAGACCACCCAGCAGGCTGGGTCACAGGGCTGGGCCTGGGAGGGGTGCAGGCTCTGGGGTGGGGCCCAAAGTGAGGAGGTCAGGCTGAAGGAGGGTCTGGGATGCAGGAGGGGGCTCCAGGCTCCAGCAGAGGAGTTTGGGGTTGCAGGGGTTGGGCTCAGGGAGGGAGATTTGGTAGAGGAAAGGGCTCAGGCCTGGATCATGGCATGGAGACTAGTTTTGGAATGTCAGATTTGGGTGGCTCTCCGAAAGTGGTGACATGTCCTGGCTGTTCCTAGGCAGAGGCACAGATGGCTCTGTGCACTGCTCTGTCCTCAGGTGCGGCCCCCCCCACAGTTCCCCTTGGCTGCTGTTCCCAATCAATGGCAGCTGCAGAGCCAGTGCTCAGAATGGAGTGGGAGCAGATACGGAATCCCCATAACTCTTCCTCTGCCTTGGAGCAGCAGCAGCATGTTGCTGTTTCTAGGGAGCAGATAGGGACCCTGCCAGTCCCACGTCAACCAGACTATAAATCAGACCTTCAATGAAGATCAGAAAAAGCAATTTTTATAGAGCTTTCCGATTGGTACAGGGCCAGATAATATAGCTGCTGCTCTAGTGCTGTCCCTGTGGCTGCTCCACTGTAGGTGTTTGCTTTCGCATCCCTGCACTAATAGTTGGAGCCTATTTTTGGTGGCAGTGCTGGGTTGAGTCACATGTATGGTCACTCTCCCAGACAGTTAACTAACTGTGTGACAGACCAACCCACACTGCTCTGCCTAGAGTGATAGGGAAAAAAAAAGACACAATCAGTAGCTGGCTAGTTAGTTGTTAATTAGTTATTTTGTTTCCTCGTTAGTAGCTACTTAGCCTTCCTTTTGTTTTTTCTTCCTTGCATTGTGAGCTACTGCCTGAGCAGAACACCAGTCACACCTGGGCATAGTTGAGGGGGCTCGGAGCCAGGTTTTAGACCAACCCCATCCCGGCCACACACAAAGGCCCTTGAACCGGGGCTCGTGGGTTGGCCCAGGGCGCGTCTGGCCAGGCACATGCCTTGGGGAGATGCCCCCAAACCACCTCCTGGCCAAGAGCATCCCCAGGCGGCCGGAGGAAAGGCACACGAAGA